TGGGAGCAGATCTTGGATCTTTCTTTGGGCGTGAACACCGACGTTGGGAGATTTTGATTCTCCGTATCAGGTATAACCCTTCCCCTGATCTTTGGTTCAGATCTGGTCTGGTTTGGTTCGAGTAGATCCTTGAATATTTGATTCTAAAATAAGGGAATGCGATTCCCAGTTGGAAGAAAGGTAGGAATTTTTTGAAATTTGCCCACCCATTCCGCAACCGTTTTGGCGTCTATACGTTGGATCCTAACATTCTTTCATTATGCAAATAGGACCATGACTAAAGCATAGAAAAATTATTCCACTACTGAAAAGGAATTACTTGTAGTGGTATTTGCTATTGAAAAGTTTAGATCTTATTTACTCTTGTCTAAAGTCATCATGTTCACTAACCATGCTGCCTTGAGATATCTATTTGCTAAAATATATGCAAAGCCTAGGCTACTGCGATGTATTCTGCTGTTGCAAGAATTTGATTTAGAAATTAAGGATAAGAAGGGTAGTGAAAATACAGTAGCTGATCACTTATCAAGGCTTGATCAAAATTATGTTGAAAACATTAATGATTCCCCATTGCATGATGAATTCCTAGATGAGCAATTGTATGCGATTAGCAGAAATAATGAACCTTGCTTTGTATATTTTGCTAATTTTTTGGCAGGAAAGGTGGTGCTACTTCACTTGACATATCAACAGAAAAAGAAAATTTTCTCTGATGTGAAGTATTACTTGTGGGATGAACCTTACCTGTATAAAATTTGTGGGGACGGAATGATATTGAGATGTATTCCTGAGGAGGAAGCGCGGAGCGTTATAAATTTTTTCCATGACAAAGAAGCAGGAGGTCATCATAGAGCATCAAGAACTGCTTCAAAAATTCTCCAAAGTGGTTTTTACTGGCCTTCGCTCTTCAAGGATGTCTACTCTTATATAAGTGCTTAAGATCATTGCCAAAGGACAGGTAATATCTTCCGACGAAATGAGATGCCCTTGAACAATATTCTTGTTTGCGAAATCTTTGATATTTGGGGCATCGATTTCATGGGGCTTTTTCCTAAGTCTATTAATAATTCATACATACTTGTGGCTGTGGATTATGTAAGCAAATGAGTGGAAGCATGTGCATATCGAACTAATGATGCTTGGGTTGTTATTAAATTTATGAAAAATTTTATATTCACTCGTTTTGGAACACCTCGAGCTATCATAAGTGATGGGGGAAAGCATTTCTGTAATAAACAATTCGAGCACTTGCTAAATAAATATGGTGTTACGCATAGAATTGCAACCCCCTACCACCTTCAGACTAGCGGCCAAGTAGAAGTCTCTAATAGAGAATTAAAACAGATTTTAGAAAAGACAGTTACCACATCTAGGAGAGATTGGTCCTTGAAATTAGACGATGCACTTTGGGCTTACCGTACTGCATTCAAAACCCAATTGGTATGTTCCCATATCAATTAGATTTCGGCAAGGCGTTCCATCTACCCGTTGAGTTGGAACATAAGGCTTACTGGGCTATCAAATTTTTGAATTTTGATTTGAGTGATGCAGGTGATAAAAGAAAACTTCAGCTCAACGAAATGGAAGAATGGAGGAATCAAGCATATGAGAATGCCCGGACTTACAAAGAAAAAACCAAAGCATGGCATGACTCCCGTATTGCAAGGAAGGAATTTAAGGAAGGAGACAAAGTTCWGCTCTTTAATTCTCGTCTCAACCTATTTCCTGGAAAGTTGAAGACCAGGTGGAGTGGACCCTTTGTAGTGGCTAAGGTATTCCCTCATGGAGCACTTGAATTGCGCAATGGTAAGGGAGACACATTCAAGGTAAATGGGCAGCGTTTAAAGCATTATATTGAAGGGGAATAACCCATTCATCATGAGTCCACTCTTTCCCTACAACAACCATGAAAGAAAGAAGAAAGTCAAGCTCATGACTTAAAAAGAGCGCTTGTGAGAGGCAACCCATTGAGTTCAATTATTTATGTTCAGTTTATTTTATTGTTTTTATCTATTTATGGTCGCGACTTTTTTTAGGAACATGGTCGTGTTTAGCAACTGATTATGCATCAGAAGGATCTCAACAAGGCGTTCAGGGAAGTTCCCTTAAATCTTTCTATCKTACGCACARTCATATACATTGRGGACAATGTATACCTTAAGTGTGGGGGGATTAGGGGAATTTGATAATTTCTGGGTCAACTTTAGCATTCTTCGATCATCACGTTTTAACCTTTCTTTTTAAAGTTTTTGCTCCCTAGAAACTTATTTTTGAATGACTTCAAACTATCATGAATTATGTGCTTAGGTTGAATAGACAAGATAGGATGCAAGCATGACTAATTGAATTTCTTTTTGGCTACGTAAGGTACCTCATTATTTTAAAAGATCAATAGGCAAGATTCAATACAAATTTAACCCTTATGAGCATTTGATTACTTTTCGCCTAAATGTCTGTCAAACACGGTTTGATTATTCTAGAACTTACTTTGTTAGACATGTTGAGACCACGTTCATGAGTTCATGGATTGGAATGAGAATGGTGATGCTCTTGTGGAATTTGAAAAAGGAAGATTGTTATTTTCATAAAAAAAGAAAAAAAAATCGTGACTAGTGTGAGATGGAGCATAAAATGCACTCACACTAAAAGCGAAAGAAAATGGTGAGATGGAGCATAAAATGCACTCACCCCTAGAACCCCAAGCCCCATTTCACCTTTTGATGCATTGAAATCATGCTTAGTGGTGGAGATGTGATACATAAGCAAACTTATGGTAATAACATTCATTGTTTTGACCTAAGAGATTAATGAGGGAGTATTTGAATCTTGTTGCATTTTGATTGTTGAAACAATGAGTGCTTATTTTAACCCTAAAATTTTTATTCGGTGGAATGCTTGTTTTCCTTGACTGTTAATTTAACTTGGGCTCATGAGGAATGGTGATTTGAGATTATTCTTTGACGAGTTAAAGAGGAGAAAGAGGTGGAAATGGAAAGATTATTAAGTCTGGATTGAAGCAGGCGAGAGGATGAGCATCATGTTAAGAGAGAGTTTAAAAATCAGTAGGTAGTTAGTTTGTTTCGCCTGAGGACGAGCAAGGTTTAAGTATGGGAGGATTTGATAAGAATAAAAATTATCATATTTTTATCCATGAATATTCAATTTTTTTACTTAATTAACACTTAATTGGACTCATTGCTTTTGTATTTCGATTCAGGGCAAGCAAGAAGGCGGCAGGAGGGAAACAAGGCTAATCGGATGATTTTGCACAGTTTCAGCACCGTTCAGTAATCTGGGCATAACTCTCACATCTTGACTCCGATTGGTATGAGTCAAGATGCACTCCAAAGATAAGGGAGAACCCTACAACTTTCATGTTTTGGGTTTTGATCGATTCGGTCTGCATTGAGTTCAAAATCGGGCCAAAGTCGAAGCAAATTCGTAGAGAAGCCCAACTCACAGCTAAAGCCCAATTCGCAGAAAAGCCTTGTAACAGCCCAATTTATTAAAGAAGCCCAACTCGAATTCAAGAATAAAGAGTCTTATCAGATTTAAATTTCAAATGTAATCCTAAAAAGATAAAGAAGATTGAGATTACTAGATAAGAGATAGGATAGGATAGGATTAGATCTAATTAGGACTTTCTATTTTGGAGAAAGAACTCCTAAAAGGAGTTGGAAACAACTCCTACTCCTAAAGCTATATAAAGGGGGGGTGGCGGACTAGCATTAGGATCACTTAATCCATATTTGAAGTAATCAAGAAGACATTATTCAAGAAAGCTTCAAGAAGGAGGTCAGCAAAGCAAGAAGGAGGAAAGGAGGAAGGCGGCAGCAAGGAGAAGACAAGCTCATAGATCTCAGCTTCAAGGGCAACATCCTGAGTTCATTCTTACCCCTTGTTTGCTTTATTTCCTTTATCATGAATTAATTTATTTGTAGCTAGGTTTGTGGAAAGCCTAACCACGACAATGGATTGATTTTTTATTTTGATTTATCCAAGATTGTTATTTTCATATTGTCTATGAGTTATTATGCATAATGCGATTAAGAGCTTGGCCACCTTTAATTGATTTGGTTTATGTGAATGAATCGAGAGAGGAATTCATATAATGGACTGAATAACTCATAGTGTGAATTGAATGCTATATAGGAATATATATATACATGATTCATCTGGTGATATAAGTTTTTCATAGAACTTAATGCATTTCTATCTCGAGAACTCTAGTCGAGAGATCGAAGGGTTACTTGATAGAAGTAGATTTGATATATCCTGAGAGGGAATATTAAATAAATTTGGAAAAACTTCAGCTTATGAAGATAATAAATTATCTTGRTTAATCTAATAAATTGATATCCATTGGAATGGTTAGGTGGACCAATAGTCCTAGTGCTTCCAATTAGATCGTTGCAAGTTTTGTCATTAATCGCCCTTATTTTTATTTTTCTTCTATTCTTAATTTTCAGTAGTTCTTATTATTAGATCTGAAATTTGGTTGTCCAAATAATTAAGGAAGGCTATAGTTGTAATACTTATTTTATTTAATCCTAGTGGGAACGATATCTTTATACTACTTGATAACTAGTGCACTTTCTAGGGTTACATAATTATAGCCATCATTTGGCTATGTAGATTCCTTGTTGAACATTCACGAGACTATAAAAACATTCACAGAGCCCAATATATAAACTCTTATAGCCACTAATCATCAACAACCATTCTCGTTGTATATCAAAGAGGCTAATCATAAACCCATAATTCTTGAACTCCTCTGGTTTAAGGACTAAACAAACTAGTCAATCAACTTGCATCATAAAACTCACAACCACAATATTTAGTAATACCAAAGTTGAAGAATACGATGTAATAACAAGATAGAGGCTTAAACAGTTAAACCCGACAACCTATCATTAAGTTGATGAATAGTTTAGTAGTGAGTATCATTACCAAAGGCCAAAGCCGAATTGTAATCATATTATCATTCATAAACTTGTATTTAGTATCATATTATCATGGATAAATCATAAACCTATCACTTAGGATCATCTAAAATATTAAAAGTGTTGGCAACCATTAACCATTCCTACTTGCACATCTATCAAAATAATAACAAACTAACCATTCAACATGCATCATAAAAGCCATAACCATAGTATTATCAAAAACCATCACAATACAAATCTTAGTTCATATCCACAATCATAATGTCCATAACCAATTAACCATAAAGGCATAAAGTCTACAACCACAAGTCCACCATCTCAATCATAAGAATTCGGGTCTATAATCACAAGGTCTACAACTACCTAGTCAACAATGTCGATAAGAGGATGCTCTTTGGTCAAGGATGACATTTTTGCAAAAAAAATTGAGACAAATACAAATTAGAGTTAATATAATAAAATAAACATGAATAAAAAACACAAAATTAAAATTATGAACTTTACTTGATTCCATATTTTTAAGCTCATCTAAACTCTCCTCTATATAGAGATAGCCACGTGATATTTATAACCACTCTTTCCCATAAATGATAGCTTCCACCATTTTTGGAGTTAGAGAACTACAAAATGAACCAAGCACACAACTTCCAGTGCTAAAATCCGACTTGGATGCAACTATAGATACAGGTATAGCTAATAAATCCTGAACCATCAAAGAAAGCACTTGATATTTAGATGAATTAGTTTTCCACCAAGTCCATATGTCAAATACTTTTTGGATCTTCACATTCTTCTTCTAAATATTTATCCAATTTTATCTTGTTCTTTACACCTCCTTGGCCCACTTTTTTCTTGTTATATAATGTATTTATGAAATTAGCAACATCTTCCACTCTCAACTTTCATTTCATTTGGATCTTGAGATGGATTATTTGGTTGAAGATTAAAAGATGACAAAGTTGAACTATAAAACTCAAACATAAAAGACAAAATGTGTTTTGCCTTCTCTTTTAACACTTTAGTAGTATCAACATCATATGATTCACTAATCACCCAATCCACACATTCCAATTTACATCAGGGATAAAGAACAACTGCAATGAACAACATGGTGTTGATATCATTGAAATTTGCCCAATATTTGTCATACTTCAAATTCATTTTAAAAGCCATCAAACCAACAAAGAAATCATCACTATTACACCTGAAAACAACAATTCTAATACCATATATTTCTTTCATTTATACATTTCCAGATATATAAAGTGAACCAAATAATTTTAATGTGGTTTCATAGAAAATTTTAAGAAAAGGCAACAAACCACGAACATATTCTCAATCTCTATCAGTAGGCAGACTTATTTTAGAATTAGTAAGCTCCTCTATATACCTACTATCAACAGTCTCTAACAAATCAAATACCTTCCGAAATTTTAAAGCAAATTCCAACATTAAATAAGTAAATAAGTAGAGTTCCTAGTTTCAACATCTAGGCAAATAAGACGCGTACTTACTATCTTTTCTTTCTTCACACAATCATTAAAGCTTTGCAACTTGGCTAGAGAGGACATTACATATTTCACTAAAATGAATCCTAAAAATAGTCATCTATCTCTAACAATCTCTTTTTGATAATTAAACTCAAAATATATGCATCACATTTAATATATAAGAACTCACACTTTAAGACATTTCTCTTCCAGTTATTAAGTCTCTTTTTTAGGTATTGAATTCTACATCATTTTCTCAATGCCCCAATCAAGTAAACATCTCTCAATGGCCTTGCCAATTACCTCTCCCGAGAATGGAAATTGGACAAAAATTTAAAATGTTTTTATGCAATTTCCAATCATCATCAATAAAGTGAGAGGTGAGGCACATGTAACGAAGATTTTGAGAGAAAGTCCATTTGTCTGTAGTAA